ACACACACACACACACACACACACACACACACACACACACACACACAGTTTCTCTGTGTAGCCCTGGCTTTCCAGGAACTGCTCTGTAAACTAGGCTGGCCTAGAATTTAGGGACCAGGGATCCGCTTGCCTCTGCCTTCTAAGTGCTGGGATTAAAGCCTTGTACCACCACCATCTGGCCATAAATAATTTTTAAAAGATCTGTTTTTAAGTGTGTGTGAATGTAGGCAGGACATCTGCCTTGAATATTATTCCCCACCCCCCAGGGTTTCTCTGTGTAGCTTTGGCTCTCCTGGACTTGCTTTGTTGGACTTACTTTGTAGACCAGGCTGGCCTTGAACTCAGTGATCTGCCTGTCTGTGCCTCCCTGAGTGCTGGATTACAGGTGTGATGTGCGCCACTGTGCCCGGCTGCCACCATGTTTTTTGAGACAGAATTTCTCACTGGGTAGGGCTCCTTGGTTAGATGAAGCTGGGCTAGCCAAGGAGTCCCAAAGATCTGCCTGTGTGTTCCTCCTCAGTGCTGGAATTACACACACAGGCCACCATGCTTGTGAAAGAAACACTTCACTGATGGAACTGTCTTTCCAGCACACACCTTCTGTTTTTGGGAAAGGGTCAGCTCTCAAGGGCTTTGAACTTGTGATCTTTCTGCCTCCACATCCGGAATGCTGAGATTGTAGTCATGTGCCACAGTGCCCAGTTTATGTAGGGTTGGGGGAGGAACCCAGGGCTTTGTGCATGCTAGGTGAGCACTTTGCCACCTGAGCTGCATCGAAGCCAGCCTTTTCTACAGAGTGAGTTCCAGGACAGCTACATGGAGAGACCCGGTCTCAAAAAGATTTGTTTATTTGTGTGTGTGTGTGTGTGTGTGTGTGTATGCGTGCGTGTGCACACGTGTGTGCCATGTACATGCAGGTGCCTGCAGAGGCCCGAAGGGAACTTAGGTCTCCAGGAACTGGATTCACTTGCTCTTGTGAACTGCGTGACGTGGGTGCTGGGAACCAAACTTGGGTCCTCTGCAAGAACAGTGCCCCCTTGTAACTGCTGAGCCATCTCTCCAGCCTCTGGAGAAACAAGGCAGTTCTATTAAGAAAATGAGAACAAGGGTTGAAGTGATAATTTATAACACCACCATCCTGGGAGAAGTGGAGCCTTGGGGAAATCAGGTCTCGGTGAGAGACTTCATCTAAAAAAAAAATCCTGCTCTGCCCTTGGTGACCTCTGACCCTATATAGGTTAGGCATTGGTCAACAGTGCTTTATAATAGTTCCAACAAATAACTGACCCTCATGGAGCTGAGCCACTGGGCCTGCTATGCTGCAGCCCTTAGCTGTGCAGGCCTGCTCCACCCTGGGTGATTCCATTCCTGGGAACCGTGGGCTGGTTGTGATATCCTTCCATGGCCGTGGCACAGGCACAGGCACAGGACTGGGGAGCCAAGAGGATGCTCGTTCTTACCGGCACTGTGTCAGCCCTTCCCTTGTCCCACTGGGCAAAACAAGCCACATGTGTGACCCAATGCAGATGGACATGTGGGCAGGGCACATGGCCATGGCTGGAGGTACTGCAGAGGCTCACAATAACACCAGAGGACACAGGGCTTCCATCGCTGTGATGACAAGCTCTGGGCCGCAGTCCCCTCCTCCTGTATGCGACAGTGCCTACCTGGAAGGGCTGTGGGGTTGCTGCTGCACACAACGGCCATGGCTGCTGGATCATTGCCAGTCAGCATGCCTGGGACATGGATTGGCACAGGTGGGGAAGAGGAGGCTGGTTTCGTCTTTGTTGGAAAGACCCCCTTCCTGTCTTCCATGCAGCACTTCCTGTCTCAGGGGGCCCAGAAGCTATGCAGGTGCAGACAGGCAGGCAAGCTCTTGCTCCCTAGGCTGTTTTCATGGTCCAAAACTGCAGGCTGGTCAGGCACAGTGTCACACAGCTGTGATCTCAGCACTTGGAAAGCTGAGGCAGGAGGATTGGAGTTCCAGGCCAGCCTGGGCTACATAGTGAAATCCTGATTGCAAAAGGGACATAAACCAACAAAAAAAAAAAAAAAAAAAAAAAAAAAAAAAGTGGGGGAGAGGTGCTGAAGCACTTGCATGGCCCATGAGGCCCTGGATTCCACCTGATTGTAATGAACAGGAAGCCAAGCCCCAGCCATGAGTCTGGCTGTGGCGGCTGGCTTTGCAGGGGTCCCTGCTGCTGACTGAATGTCCTCCCTCTCCCCTCCAGGTGGGCCTATCTGGACCTGGGCACAAATGGCAAGTACAATGACAGCCTGCAGGCCTATGCAGCTGGTGTGGTGGAGGCCTCTGTGTCTGAGGAGGTAAGGCCAGTGTGGGAGCCTGGGGTCGCAGCTGCCTGGCCTGCCCTGTTCCACCCTCCAGAGCCATGACTTACTCAGGGCCTTTGGTGGGGTCGGTGCATGTGCTGAGGGGTCCCTGCCTCCTGTCCTCCATGTAGGGGAGAAGAGCCTCTTCCTCAAAACAGCACATAAAGCTGGGCATGGTGGAACACACCAGTTACTGCATGAGTTGGGAGTCTTAAGGCAGGAGGATTGATGAATTTAAGGGTAGCCTAGGCTAGAGACAAACAAAAACCCTAGGCTATGACTCACGTCTATTGTCCTAGCAATTGGGGGATGGAGGGACAAGATCCAGGAGTTGAGAACCAGCCTTGACTACCCCCCTGAAAAAAGAAAACAATGTAATCTGTTGGCTTGGGGTACATTTCTAGGGTTGTGCAGTTAGACCACTATCCAGTTCTAGAGTGTCTTCATTACCCCGGAAGGAAGTACTCTCTGGCCCACAAATGCTCCATCCAGCTTCAGGCACCACTTGGATTTTGTTATTCTGAACATCTCATAGAATTGGAATACAGTGGGATATGCCACCCCTCCTGGCTTTTGTTTTTGTTTTGAAGTAGGGGCTCCTGTAGCCATGGCTGGCCACAAACTCAGTTGTAGCCAAGGATGTCTCAGAACTTCCGATTATCCTGCCTCTCGTCTCCCTAGTGCTGGGGTCACAGTAGTGTGTCACCACCCGGTCTGTGCTAGGATGGGATCCAAGGGCTTATTGTATGTGCTGGGAAGTGCAAGCCTTTTATAACTGTCGCTTGACACAATGTTTTTATTATTATAATTATAATTATTATTATTATTTGTACATTCTAAGGAAATGTTTTTTAGTTCACATAATGGGTTTCTTGATGACGTTTTAAATTTATTTTGTATTTGCCTGTGTCTCTATGTGTGTATGTGGGTACACGTGTGTCAGGATTCATGTGTGGAGGTCAGAGGAATGTCTTCCTTTTTTTCACTATCGAAGTCCTAGGGACTGGACCCAGGTCATCAGACTTGGTGGCAAGCTCCTTTACCTGCTGAGCCATCTCAGTGGCCCCATTATAAAATTTTTATGAATACATGTTTCTATACTTCATCTGTGTCTCAGCTGCTGCCTTCTTTATTATTATTCTCTCCTCCCAGTGACCCCTTTGCCACCTAAATGGTCCATGGTTTCCCTTCTGCCTGCATGTTTTTTCTCCCAATTTGGTGTTTTTTGAAAGATTTTTTTTATTTATATGAAAGAGTGAGACAGACAGAGAGAGAGAGGGAGAGAGAGTCACGTATGTTTGGGTGCCCAAGGAGGCCAGAAGAGTGTCAGATCTCCTGGAGTTGGAGTTACAGAGATTCAGGGAACCGAACTCTGGCCCTCTGTAAAAGGAGCAAGCAGCATGGAGCCATCTCTCCAGCCCTTTTTTAAGATGTTAGGGTCTTACTCTGTGGCCCAGGCTGACTTCTAACTTGAGATCCTCCTGCCTTGGCCTCCTGAGTGCTGGGATTATAGGGTGTGCCTTTCCACCCACCTTTTCCGATACTAGTGATTAAAGCATGTTGGGCAAGCCTTCTCCCTCTCATCTCTACTCTCAGGCTTCTTTGCACTTTTTATTTTGAGACTATCTCATGAGCTTGCCTAGCCTGACTTGAACTTGTGACTCTCCTGCCTCGGCCTCCTGAGCACTTATGCCATTGCCTCATGTGGCTCCTACTTCTGTTGAACTAGTTTTTCTGCATGTGTCAAGTCCCCAAATAGCATAGGCTTTTGTTTATCTGGTTTGGAACTGTGAAAATGGCAGTCCCAGTCAGGTGTCCCGGCCATCAGAAATCAGCTCTGCCGTGGGTAACAGCTTTGCCCACACTGGGCGGTGGTGGGAAGAGGACATCCATTTTGGGAAGTTGCTGGGCATCAACTTAGAGAGTGGAATCTGTTCAGGGTCCAATGGCCACTATTTGAGTATGTATCCTACTGGTGACCCAGGCAAGGCACATGTCCCAAGGGGCTAAAGTAAGAACACCCAAAATGGCAGGTGGGACCTGGCTGAGGCCCTGTCCTGATGGGGCCTGATGGAGCAGTGACAGCAAGGGACCACGAGAATATGAGCTGTGTTGTGGGGGATGAAGGACTCATGGGAGTAGCATCATAGGATTCTTCATAAGCTTAACTACCAATTAGGCCTCCCAAAAAGCCTTTGTGGTTGGGGATACTGAGACAAGGCCATAGTGGCTGTTGTGCTAGGATCCCGAGGGATGTGCCTAGCATTTTGCCTGTGTCATCTCACTGGGTCTTCATGCAAGCCCCTGAGGCTGGCCTGGCTGTCTCCACTGGGAAGAGGAGGTGAAACTCGGGTCCTAAGAGGTAAAGGCACTTCCTTAAGTTTAGACAGCAGCTGTTCAAGCCAAGGAGCAGCATTCATATCCAGTTCTGTGTGGCCCAGATCTTCGGTTTGCTTTATTGCTGCCTCCTGTGGTTGGGTAGCCGGTCATGATGAGTCCCCAGCTGAGTCCACCTGAGCCTTGGGTGGGGCAGGCCATTCAGTGCTCCGCAGGTTCTAGAAGCCACAAGGAGACAGGGAGCATTAGTGGGGCCTGGAGGTGAGCAGGATTTGGGGTGTATCACTAGGCAGGCCACCCTTGTGGTGCAGAGGCTTTCTAGCTGGGTGAGGTGTGGCCGGAAGCTGCCGTCAGCGGCTGTGCAGGACTGGGGCTTTGGAACTTTGCAAAATCAAAAAAGCGTATCTTGATGTGGGCCAATCAACCCTGTGAGTCAACGTCTGGCTGTTTTGGGGGTACAGGTACTTGCCTACCTGTGCCTTAGTTTCCCTAACTATAAAGTGGATGTGTTGGTTTCACTTCATTGTAATGAAATACCCAAGATGATGAGCTCATAAAGGGTCATAGCTCTTACGGCTGCAGCCCAAGGCTGGGTAGATCATTGCTTTGGGCCTCTGATGGAGTCTGGACAGCAGTGCAGGGACATATACATGGCAGAGCAAGATATTCCCTTCATGAGCCAGAAGGCAGAAGTGGAGTAGGAATAGAGTAGGTCCCAGGTCCCCTTCCAGGACAAGCCTCCAAAACCTTAGGCTCTCCTAAGTCCTGTCTCCCAGCAGTGCTGCATAGTGGACCAAACCCATAGCAGCCCCTGGACAGCCAGCCCAGGCTGGACCACTTGTGGGGATGGCAACCACATCACCTGCTCAGAGCACTGGAGGCTGCAGCATCTCCATCCATCTGTGAGATGCTACTCATTGGCATGGGCCAAGGCCAGCAGCCCGCCTCCCAGGGAGCATCGGCTGTGTGCCCTGGTTTTTCTGGGCTGGGTCAGGCTGATCTTGGTGGGTTCTGTTGTACTGCCGTAGTCAGCTGGCAGGGCACTGGGGTAGCTGGATGGCCTGAGATAACCTCAGTCATGTGTCCATCACCTGGGGGACAGGGAATGCTGGCTGGGGTCCCTTTCCCCAGCAGGCAAGCCCAAGCTCACCCACCCTGCACCTGGGCAGTGCCGACAGCCTGGCCCACTTTTCTGGCCCAGTGAGCCAGCAGGGGGACTTGTTTTGTTTCCTCTGTTCTCCATGCTTGGAATAGAGCAGGGAGCTGTCCAAAGCACATGCTTCAAGCCAAGAGCACTGGTACATGCTTGCAGTGCCTGGAGTAATCCTGGCAGCCAGAGGCCAAGGAGCGTGAGCCTGTCTAAAAATCCAAGCAATGGCTGGGCATGTGGCTGCATTTGTAGATAGACTGCCAAGTATGCACAGGCTCTAGGCTCCACCCCCAGCACTGTATAACCAGGCTTGGTGGCACACACCTATAACCCGGCACTTGGCAGGTGGAGGCAGGAAGATCAGCTATTCAAGGCCAGCCTCACCTTCGCAAGACCCCACCTTCAAACAACCAAAACAAAAGGAATAAAATCAGACCTCAAGTGCTAGGCTTTGGTCAGGTGGCCTTGCAGACATTTGCTTGGCTTGAATGAGGCCCTGGCTCCAATCTCCAGTACAAACACCGACAGAAACAACCCAAGACCCCATATTTGATGGCAGAGCACATTGTCCCAGCAACAGAGGAGGAGCAGTCTAGTCTAGACTGTCCACAGGCCCTGAAGAAGAGAGACCTAAGACGATTTGGGCCTTAAGGGGGGGGGGCGGCAAGGGCCACATGAGGGTGTGTGGGAGCCATGTAGGCTGGGGGTTGCCTCTGTACCCTGGTGGGGCGGGTCCTCAGGGTCCTGATGGAGAGAGCAGCAGCTGCTCTGCCCTCCCCTCCGCACAGCTCATCTACATGCACTGGATGAACACGGTGGTCAATTACTGCGGCCCTTTCGAGTATGAAGTTGGCTACTGTGAGAAGCTCAAGAGCTTTCTGGAGGCCAACCTGGAGTGGATGCAGAGGGAGATGGAGCACAGCCCGGACACTCCGTACTGGCACCAGGTGGGCTGGGCTGCCCTGCTTGCAGGAAGGTGGCTTTTTGGGGTGTGCCCATTGCCCGTGCAGTCCCTGACTGGCCCTGAGTGAGCCAGAAGCGCAGCCCACTCTAGCACCCATCAGCATCTGCGCTCCTCCTCCCCAAGCTGCTGTCCTTCCAGAGTCCAGCCCCGCCTTCCTGCTAGTGAAGAACCTAGGTGCAGCTAAGTGGTGGTGGCGTGTGGTTCTTGCTGCCAGGGAGGTGGCGGGAAGCTAGACACAAGTGAACACCATTAGAAAGGGAGGGGGGGAAAATTGAAAGCGCACAGCATAGTTGAGCTTTGCGTTTCCTTCCTAGGCTGAGCTCTGACTGACTGAGTGCTAAGGGCGAGGTCCTGGGCAGCTGGCTCCTTGGCCTTGGGCTGCTGCCTAGGTCAGTGCAAAAGCCACAGAACCTGTGACTTCTCTACAGACCTGAGGGTTTAGCAGCTCAGGCAGTAGCCTCTCGGGATGGCTGCCGCCTGTGTGCACATCCTTCAGCGCTCACGCCGTTCTCCTTCCTACACATAGTTCCCCTGCCAACCCATCCCCTGGCACCTGTCCTTTCTGCATCAGGTTTTCTTCCCTCACAAACCCACTCATCCCTCCATGTATCCACCCACTCATCCTTCCGTATTTCTGCTTACCCACCAACACACATCATCCCATCTACCCTCTAGACCACCCATGTGCCCCCTTCTGTCCCATCCGTCCACCCACCCAGATGCATGGACTTACTAAGGTATCCGTTCATCGAGCAATACATCTAGCCACCCACACTTGCACACATCAACCCATCTACCTTCTAAGTCCTGTTGATCCATCCATCCTTCTGTCTGTCCATCTGTCTATTCATCCCCTCCTCTCCATCCATCTATCTTGTCTGTATGTAAGGAAGTTCCTCGTATGTGCTGAGCACCAGCCAAGACTCATGAGAGGCACCTGTGATAACTCTAGTTACAGGTGCTGAGGCAGAACTGGCAGCAAGAAGAAGGCAACCATAGGACAGATGCCAGGGGCAGCCAGCATCTAAGACTAGGGAGATGTTGGCAGGCTTTGTGGAGGAGGTGGCTTTTGACCCAGGTTCTTAAGTGAAGGTGACTTGGGGTCAGCCTGAGGATGTCATAGATTTGATCTGCTGAAAGCAGGAGAGGGATCAGGGCTGGCTGGAGGCTATGGAGCACCCCTGGGCCAGGTCAGGGTCCCTGAAATGGTGTAGAAAAGGTAGCCTGGGGGTAGGGGGGCTCATCCTCCCTTTGCCCCTCCCCTAGGTGCGGCTGACCCTCCTGCAGCTGAAAGGCCTGGAGGACAGCTACGAAGGCCGTTTAACCTTCCCAACTGGGAGGTTCACCATCAAACCCTTGGGGTTCCTGTAAGTGCCCCCCCCCCCCAGCCTGTGCAGGATGGGTAAGAAGCCATGAACCTCATAGTCATCCTGGTTCCATGCCAGCTCTGCCACTTCCTACTCCCAGACTACATGGGTCGACTGACCCCTGGAGCCTCAGCTATGGCATGGGTGCAGAGTAGCTGCTGACCCTCCCATCCTGCCTCCTCAGCCTGCTGCAGATCTCCGGAGACCTAGAAGACCTAGAGCCAGCCCTGAATAAGACCAGCACCAAGCTTTCCTTGGGCTCCGGTTCCTGCTCTGCCCTCATCAAGCTGCTGCCGGGCAGTCGTGACCTCCTGGTGGCACACAACACATGGAACTCCTACCAGAGCATGCTACGCATCATCAAGAAGTACCAGCTGCATTTCCAGGAGGGGCCAAAAGGTGGGAGAAAGGAGCATCCTGAGAGAGGGTGGACGTGAGCATGCACACAGGGCTGGGTCCTTAGGCGAAGCTCTAGAGCAGTGCCAGGGAGTCCTACTTGGCAAGCAGGGCCTTCAGCGGGCCCCCAAAATTACCACCCCCATTCACCCCTCTGCCTGCACCTACCCTCCTACCTTCTACTGTCTCTTTCCTGGGAATTGAACCCTGGGCCTTCTTGCCTGAAAAGTGTTGTACTACTCAGCTCCATGTCCTGACTGGCCTTGGACGCTAGCGTGTGCCCAACATAAACCATCACCCAACGAGGCTGGCAAAACAATGGCAATGGGGAGAAACCAGTTGTACATAGCAGGGTGGCACTGAACTAGAAGTCTTCCTGCCTCAGCCTCCCTCATACTAGGATGACACACTCAGCACCATGTTTCTTACATTTTTAACACTTTAAAAACCTACTTAAGGGCTGGGCATGTGGCTCCCCAGCAGAATACAAGTCCCCCCAAACAGTACCACCAACATGCTCTGGAAGTCGTGTGTAGGGCAAGTCCTGCCAAACAAGGAGGCCCTCCTGTATGTGACCTCCTCGGCGCTTGGGAGGTTATCCCTGAGGATTGGTTGTTTCCTTGTAGCTGTGCCAAGGTCACTTTTGATTTTGCATTGCTTTATTCCTCATTTAATATCAGTTGTATACAATCACAAACCCAGCGAGACCGGAATAGATGCCCTACTCCACTCTGAGCTACCCACGTGCAGACAGACCCTCCTGATGAAGTGGGAGCCGTCTACATTTTAAGGGGATTTATTTATTTGCACCTTTGTAAACGAATTCACCACTCAGCAATGTTTACAGAAAATCTGTTTCGAGCTGCACCGAGGAGCATCTTGCTCTCTGTCATATTGCATGTTTGTTATGAAACCAGTAAAGACAGTCAGTGGGGCTCTTCCCCCCTTCCTTTTCCTGCTGCTCCTTCTTCCCTTTCTTCTTCCTCTTCCTCCCCTCTTCTCCCTCTTCCCCTTCTTCCTTTCCTCTATCCTCTTCCTCCTCTGCCTCCCACCCCGCTTCCTATTTGAACTAGACTCATCATATAGCTCTGGCTGGCCTAGAACTCACTGTGTAGTCCGGGTGGCCCTCCTGCTTCACCCTTGCGCTCCTCACATTCCAGGCAGGTGCCACCCACCTATTTCACTTGAAGAACCTCCTTTGCTTTGACAAAAGGGACGAGAGTGGGCCTCCTGAAGACTGCTTGATTCCCACTTGAGGCCCCAGCCTTGGGGGATGGGAGGTGGGGTCTCCACAGGGCCTGCCTGACCAGCTCCTACCCTCCCCAGAGGAGTACCCCCTGATTGCTGGCAACAGCTTGGTCTTTTCATCTTACCCGGGCACCATCTTCTCCGGCGATGACTTCTACATCCTGGGCAGTGGGTTGGTGAGTAGCTGAGTCACGTGCTCCCTGAGGACATGGCACACAGAGGCTCTGGGAATACAGTGAAGGATAAGGTGTGCAGAGCCTCTGAGCTCTGAGAAAACATACGTCCTTAGGAGCTACTGGTGTTGGGGACCATGGCAAAGTCCTTACACAGTGGCCTTGGTTTGTTTTTCTGTGTTCAGCATAAACACCTCCTTTTTGCCAGTGACCTTGCTCTCCAGTGACCCTGCCTTCCACTGTTCCCACCCCTTAACCTGGCCAGTTCTGAGGAGCTGCTGTTTGCCGTGCTTTGTCTCCTCTGTTCCCCTGGCTGCCATCCAGGCCCCTTTAGAAATCTGTCCCTGGCTGCTGAGATCTGAGACTGATGCTGCCAGGAGACAGACTTCACTGCAGAAAGCGCCCTGGGTGCAGTAGATGCAAGGGCACTAGGAGGGGTGGTAGGGCTCACGTCCTCTTGCTTCTTCCTAGTGTGGGAGAGGCTTGGGAGGGCTAGGGGCTGGGAAGCAGCCCCTGAGGGCTTTAGTCCAAGAAGCTTTCCTCCCTCCCAGAGGGGCGTGTGTGTGTGTGTGTGTGTGTGTGTGTGTGTGTGTGTGTGTGTGTGATGGAACTGGAAGCCATTAAACCCACTGCCCTTCCCTGTATTTGTATCCTAAACCATATTTATAGTGTAGCATGCTAGTGACCTTCCCAGACTCTATTTATTTATTTATTTATTTGTTACAGTTTATTTAGTTATTACAATTTATTCATTTTCTTCCCAGACTCTTATTTGTTTGCTTTTTTATTGAGACATAGTCTCACTGTGTAGCCCTGGTTTGCTTAGAATTTGCTGTGTAGACCAGGCTGGTCTTGAACTCAGAACCTGTCTCTGCTTCCCAATTGCTGGGTTTAAAGGTATGGGCCACTATACCCAGCTTTTATTTTATTATATTATTTTTTTTTATTAAATTATTCACTTTACATCCCTATCACAGCCCCCTCCCTCCTCTTCTCCCAGTCCTACCCTCCCCAGCTTTTATTTTTTATTTTTGTGATTCTATCTATCAATCAATCTATCTATCTATCTATCTATCTATCTATCTATCTATCTATCTATCTATAATATATCATTCTATAACTCAGGATGTACTGGAACTCAGTGTGTAGCCCAGGCCAGCACCCCTCCTTTCTCAGCCTTCTGAGGAGCCTGGCATTATACGCCTGTGCCAGGCCTAGCTTTCTTCTCTTTTTATTTTTTATTCTGGTTTTCTAAGACAGAGTCTCATGTAGCCCAAGCTGACCTGTGTAGCTGAGGTTTCCTTGAGCTCCTGATCCTCCTCCCTTCACCTCCCTAGTGCTGGGGTTAAAAGCTGTGCAGTACTATGCCTGGCTTCAATGTCTTTCTTAAAACACTGGCCTAGGCTCACACCTGAAACCTTAGCGCTTGGGAGGTTGAGACAGGAGAATAACCGAGAGTTTAAAGCCAGCCTGGTCTAACAATGTGAGATTATAAATGCCTCCAAAAATAAATAAAACTTTAAAACACCGTCATGTGGGTCTGTGTGTGACTGTGTCACTGGGGAGGGTGGGACGGCTAGATTCTCCTATAGCATCCTATCCACCCTTCAGCTGCCAGGATGTGGCCACTGGGAAGTTTAGTTTCACAGGCAGTGCTTGGTTGTTGATTCAGCACTGTTGTTTTGTCTGAGATGGGCCCTTACTCTGTAGCCCTGGCTACCCTGGAACTCACCGTAGACCAGGCTCACCTCAAACTTGTGGCAATCTTCCTGCCTCTGCCTCTTGAGTACTGGGTTATAGGCATGTTCCACCATGCATGGCTGGTTATGCCTTGGTTTTAACTAATGAGAACAAGGTGTGTTTATCTAGACACATAACAGGTCCGGGGCTGTGAGATGAGAGGCTTCATAAGCAGCAATGGGCAGCTCATGACTCTAAGGCAGAACGAGGCGGGCAAGCTGGGGTCTTGCCAAGGTCTCTGGCTACTGGGGCTCCAGGTAAATAGCCTCAAGCCACCAGCTGTCCTTGTAGACCTGGGAGAAGGGGTGGGAATGAGATGCTGCCTCTTGGGGGAGAGCTCACTCTGTGACAAGAGAGGCAGTTACGAATCTGGTCCCCAAGGCAGAGCTGGGTGCATGGGCCTGAGTCTCCCCCAACCCAAGTACTTCTCCAAGGAATCCCTGAGGGGTGTGCACCACAGCAGGTTAGGGCTGTGAGAAAAGCGTAAACATTGACTTCTGAGCTAAGACTGGCAGGGCTGCCACGGAGTTCCCAGGCCAACTCTTTCTTCACAGGTCGCCCTGGAGACCACTATTGGCAACAAGAACCCAGCGCTCTGGAAGTACGTGCAGCCCCAGGGCTGTGTGCTGGAGTGGATTCGAAACATGGTGGCCAACCGCCTGGCCTCGGATGGGGTCACCTGGGCAGAGGTCTTCAAGCGCTTCAACAGCGGCACGTGAGTGCGTTCCTGTTCTGCAGCACCTACTTGCGGACTATTTAGTACCCAGACCAGAGGGGACCCATGGGGCTCCAGGGTCCTCTGCCCAGCCTCTTCTCACAGATGCTCACTCAGGTAGCTAGAGCCCTTTCCTTGTTTTATATAGTGGTGAAACTGAGGCTCAAGAAGGACAGGATTTTCTTTTCTCCTCTCCTGCAAGCTCCTCCTCTGGGGGCTATCCAGTTGGAAGAAGTGTGACTTGAGGGCTCAGATGTGCAGATGCACAGAATGTACATGGGAAAGGTTCTGGGAGCTAGCTGCCAAAAGTGTGTAGGTCTCAGCGCCTGGCTGAGGAACTGGACCTTTATTCTAGGAAGTGCTAGGGAGCCATGCTGTACTTAAGCAGGGAGACAGCCCGGGTTTTGTGAGGTTTTGGGTCAAGCTGCAGCATCAGGGTAGGGTTCACCAGTCCTGGCTATATGGGGTACTGAACAGGAGAGATGCACTGGAGAGGGCTGCAGAAGGGTTCCAGGCCTGATGTAGTTCCTTCCTTGTATCTGGCAGGTATAATAACCAGTGGATGATCGTGGACTACAAGGCATTCGTCCCCTTTGGGCCCAGCCCTGGAAGCCGGGTGCTTACCATCCTAGAACAGATCCCGTGAGTCCCTGGAGCAGCAGGAAGAAGGGAGGCTAAAGGAGGGATGCCCTTGCTGGGAACAGATTCAGGACATAACACAGTTCCTGCTCTGGGTGGAGAGGGCCCTAACACTGGCTTTCCTCACACAAGGAGTGTCTTCTCACTTGCTTTGTCCATTCCTCCTGGTCTCAGGGGCATGGTGGTGGTGGCCGACAAGACTGAGGAGCTCTACAAGACAAGCTACTGGGCCAGCTACAACATCCCGTATGCATCCGTCCTTCTCATGCCTCCCGTCTCCCAGTCTGTCCTCTCTGACGCAGGGTCCTTCCCCAGGTGGCATTTTAAACATGTAGCGCAAGGAGATCTGCTTGCTCTCCTGCTGAGAAAGCTCCAGGACATGGTGACCTCCAGTTCTAGTACCTGCTGCTTGGGGTGGCCACACCTTGGGACTGGGCATTGCCAGGCATTCAGCTGGATCTGCCCCTACCTCCTGGGAGTGCAGATGCCCATGCAGTCCCCAGGCTGAAGCTGAAGCGTGGCCGGGGCAGCCTGAGTCTCAGCGAACCCAGTCTTAGCTGGGTTCTTACATCCTGTGGTTCCCGAGTGCAGCAGCATGTTCTCCTTTCACAGATGTGGAAACTGAGGCAGGGATCCTGGCTCACCCACAGCTCCATGGTCAGAGAATAGTGAAATGGTTCCTCCCCAACAGCACGAGATGACCTTGCTGCACCCTGACTGCAGTGACAGCACTCCCACTGTGACTGCCCCTCCCACCATGCTGGCCACAGCCCCAGCCAGCTGTGCGGCCAGTGGGGGCCGTGGGTGACCACCCTTCTCCCAGCAGGTTCTTTGAGACTGTATTCAACGCTAGTGGGATGCAGGCCCTGGTGGCCCAGTACGGAGACTGGTTCTCCTATACCAAGAACCCTCGAGCCCAGATCTTCCGGAGGGACCATCCACGGGTAGAGGACATGGACTCCATGCTCCGGCTCATGAGGTGGGTCAGCACACTCCTGGCTTGCTGTGTATGTGACAGGACTGCCAAACCTTGCCACCAGCCGTGGTCGGCGGCAGGTCGAGGGCCCTGCCCCTCACTATCATTAGGGAGGCCCTTCCCCCTGGAAGGTGGAGATACCTGCTCAGGACCCAGGCTGGAGCTGAAGTGTGATCCCCACAGATGTTGTCAAGGAATAGACTGGGTGTGTCTGTCCTGCTTGGAGGAGGGGCCTGGAGAACCTCCCTCAGGAAAAGCTGGGTGATAAGGCTGACCAGTGCAGGGGTAGTCCACATCTGCCCCTGCCTGAGCCAAGTGGTTTTGGCAAAAGCCCAAAAAGTTCAGGAAGCTTCAAGGCCACCCTGTGCCATGAGGAGCTTGGCTTTTCCCAAGCGTGACTGTTGTCCCTTCTGTCTGCATCCAGGTACAATGACTTCCTTCATGACTCTCTGTCACTGTGTGAAGCCTGCAACCCGAAGCCCAATGCGGAGAATGCCATCTCTGCCCGCTCTGACCTCAACCCTGCCAACGGCTCCTACCCATTTCAGGCCCTGCGCCAACGTGCCCATGGGGGCATCGACGTGAAGGTTCGCCACCCAAGCCAGTTGTCACATGCCTCGGGGGTGGCTGGGTGGGACAGGTGCAAGGTCAGTGGGTCAGGTTAAGGGGACATCTGCTTTGGGGTCAGCTTCAGAATGGTGCTCTAAGGAAAGGTCGGAGAGAGCGGGGCTCCACCTGCTCAGTGGCATGCTCTCTGGCCCTCAGGTGACCAGCTTTTCACTGGCCAAGTCCATGAGCATGCTGGCAGCCAGCGGCCCCACGTGGGACCAGCTGCCCCCGTTCCAGTGGAGTAAATCGCCCTTCCACAGCATGCTGCATATGGGGCAGCCCGACCTCTGGACGTTCGCAGCCATCCGGGTCCCGTGGGACTGAGACTCTACCTCTGCCCAGCTGCCTCTGTCCTATGTGGCCAGGAGGGTCACACACCTGCCGTCCACCCCTCAGGGCTCTGTCCTCACTGGACTCTGGTCCTAGGGGTCTCCTTCGCAGGGACACAAACCTAGTGTGCTCAGAGCTGACTATTTGTACCCTGAGCCCGGAGCCCCTTCATGGCTGTTTCTGTCCCTGTCATCAGTGTGCTGGGGCTTGCTCAGCTGTGGGCCTGGTGGGATTCTGGGCATCATTCTCCTAGAGCTGGTCCCTCAGTGTGTGGGGACACTGGCGGGGCTCATCATTGCTGTCACTACTGGCCTGTGGGCCCATCACCTCAGGAAGCAGTCCCTGTATCCCCTCTGGGCAACTTTACTGAGGGCAGAAGCTTGAAAACAACAACCAAAGTTTCTGGCTGCTTGGAGCTGCAGGGTCTTGAGTCTTCTTTCTGCAGGCGGGTGGACCATCACCCCACACTCCTACCCTACCCCCCAGCCAAGCCTGCCCTGGCCTCCTGTTAGGCGTTCTTGGTCCTCTGAGAGCCAGGGAAGATGTTGCAGGGTGCAGAGAAAGATTGAGCAAAGCATGGTAGCCAATACCTGTCATCCCAGCACTGAGGAGGCTGAGGCAGGAGGATCTCCAGGTTGCTGGACTGCATCTAGACCCCATGTCAAGAACAAACAAAACTCAAAAGTTCTTTGCTTTATAAATATATATATTTATGTATTTACAATGAAAAAGTACACATTATAAACAGGTAAAGGAAGATGGGACCGCTGTCAGGTGTACCCCCTGCCTACCCTCCTCAGGGGTGCTGGTGTCCCCCCCAGGACAGCAGCAGATGTCACTTGGGCAGCCCGTTCATGCCCAGCTGCACCTTGAGTGCCTGCAGCTGTGCCAGGCTGATGTTGCTGCCACCACACACAATGACGACCAGCGAGGTCAGCGGGGCTTGCAGCCGCCCGTCGGCCTGCAGCCTGCGGACCACGCCGCTGTACACAGCAGCCAGCGCCGCGCCACACGCAGGCTCCACCAGGATCTTCTCATCATCTGCGAGGGAGCAGCCTGATCAGCCCTCAGCATCGATAGGCCTTACAGCGAACCTCTCACTGTGGCCAGGACCGTTTGTTCTGAACCCAGCCTCAGTTTTCAGCCTGTGCCAAGGGTTCTCAGGCATCTGAGAGCGTCACCAGGCATGTGGCAGCAAGCTGAGGTTATTAATAGTTGGCAGTTGTTCATTTTGGCCACCCTGTTCAAGGCTGAACCCAGAGAGAGTTCCATTATAGACCTCCTTCAAATCCAACTCCTCCCAGTCCTTTCCCTTTTGATCCTGGCTACCGGGAAGCTCAGAACTGGTGCTTTAAAAGCTAGTTTGTCCTCCCTGCTGTCATGGTCATCAGGCTCACGTTTTCATGAGCAGCTTTAGTGTTTCTTTTTACCACGGACTTCCTTTAGCTTCTATTCATGAGGCAGTCTAGGCAGAGGAGGGAGAAAATAAAGGCGAAAAGATCCCACGGAACATACCCACAAACTTCTCAATGGCAGCCACGGCCTCCTGGTCTGAGATGACCTCAGAGAAGATGGGGTGTTCATAAAACACCTTCAGGGTCTGCGCCCCCACAGTGTTCACACCCAAGGCCTTTGCGACACTGGGAGGTGGGAGTGAGGAGAGGGATGGGAACAGAGGAGACAAGGATACATGTGAGAGTCAGGGACTTCAGGGGAGGGGTGGGAAGGGGCTACCCCTGCCCTTCCCTGGGAACCTGTACAGGGGTCTAGGGCATCCGACTGGCCTGACTCAGATAGGCCTGAAGACCTTGCTGCCTTGCCCCAGCTTGTAACCTCCACCTACTTTGTCCACTTGCCTCCTTCCCCAACCTGCCAGCCCCCAGATGAAGGTCTCCTCTTCCAGGAAGCCTTCTAGAGAGACTCCTTGGTCCCATGGCTTACTTGAAGTTCTCAAATAAACTTCCCACGCCCTAACAGACATAGGGAGAGCTAGTCCTTCCTAAAGTATCAGGTGCTACACACCTCCCAAGCTCAGTTTTATAGAAGGGGAAACAGGAACAGAGATGAGACAATAGGTATCCCAAGGTCACATTAACTTAGGGTCAAAAAATGCCTGCTTGAGTGCCAGCTACTGCATCCTTATCTGGCAGGGAAAAAAAAAAAATAGTGGAATCAGGACAACATCAGTCACAGTCCCAACAGTGACGTCATGCCCTATATGGATGAATCTCTTACCTGATTAAGTGTTCCCTATTTATGACAGAAATGCTCCTCTTCCTAGGACTCTCTCAGAGCTGGGTACTGAGTTCCTTGAGTCTGTTGCCCCACCACTCTTGAATGTGTTGGCCTACCGTCCAAAGTCGCTGTTTTTGTGCCAGCTACCACACCTACACTGTCTGAAAAGAGGGTGTGAGAGCAGAAGGGCTTGTGGATGCCCAGTACAAACTTTAACCAGCCTCCCTTGCAGCTAGGTGTGGTCATGTGACCAAGTTCTGACCAATAGATGATAAGAAAAAGTACAGCCAGCTGTTTGCTGAGGGTTGGTCTATGAGAGTTCAACCCTTTGGTGGCGCAGAAGCCATCCACACTCGTTACAAACCAGACTCTAAAAGTTGAATTTGGACCTTCTCCCAGACTATGGTTTGCAGTACAATTCGCTCTTGCTGTGCTGGGTGGCAGCCCTGAGCCACAGCTCTCCATCAGCGTATCAGCCAGAAACAGCCAGTTTAGTACTGTGTGCCAAACAGCTCAGGTAAGGCGTCCAGCAGACCAGGTTGAATTCATTCTAACGAGCTTGCCGGGGTGTAACCCACTGTCAGCTGAGGAGCAGCCCTACTTTGTCTTTAAAGTTTAGATGTTCTTTCTTTTCTCAGGCTGGCACAAAAGCAGCTGCTTTGGACCCTAGGTCATCATACTCAGAGTGGTTGGGTAACAGGCTCTTGGAACTCAGTCCCCAGCTTCAAGGAGTTGCCCCTCATTGGCTTTCTCTTTTTTCTCTTAAGTAGAGAGAAATAAAGTTCAATTTTGTTTAAGCTGCTGGTTAGGGGTTTGGATATAAATTCTTTGCAGTCAAGAAGATGTTTTTGTTTGTTTTCTTTTCCCATCCTGTGTCCAGGATCAGCCAGGGTCTGGCACATGTTAGGAGCCAGATAAGAGGCCAGCAAAGAAATGAGACATGACCTCAAGGAGTGACTAACATCATTTACCATTGTCACATGAGACCCAGACATGCCACACATGGCTGTGTGACTTTGGTCAAATGACTGAAGTCTCAGTTTCATGGCTTGCACAACAGGGAGATTTCCCAGGCTCACCTGGTGATCTTGGGCAGTGTGACCAGCTTTCCTTCCTTGGTAGCAGCATGGAAGCTGTGGGCACCGAAGGTCTCCATGGCGATGATGGGCACGTCTTCCCAGCCCACCTCCCGAAGCCCCTGAACCACTCCGCACAGCAGGCCCCCGCCGCCCACAGACAGCAGGATGGCCCCAGGCTTGTCACTCAGTGACTCCTTCAGCTCCTTCACGATGGAAGTGTGGCCTTCCCTGAGCAGGAGAAGGGTGGCAGGTCAGCTCAGGGCTTCCTGAAGACACAAGGGCTGGTCTAGGATGCCAGCTAAGGTCTGTATTTTCCCCTACTCCAGGCATTGATAAACCTCCGAGCTGGCCCCTGCCCCCTCCTCGCCCAGCTGTGGCCTCATAGGACATGATTGTGTAGGAGACAAGGCTTTCCCCACCAAGAGAGGGGATGGCTGTGGGAGTTGGTGGATAAAGTCCCCACTTCCCACCCACCAGTGGACACATGCCTTGGATACTCATTTCCTACAGATTCCCAGGGTCCCCAGGGGCTGAGATTCGGTTGCCCATGGCAGATGCTGGCACGTGAGAGCCGCTGTCATTGATGCTTCCCCAGCTCATTTATTCCTAGTCACCCCCAGATGAGCTGATCTCCCCAAATCTTTGCATCTGGAGACCCCCTTATTGCTGATGTGTGCATCTGGGCATTTGTGTTTTCCCTCCCGCACACCCAGTGCAGCCCAGAGAACTAGAGAAGCTACCCATTATGGCGGGAGGTAGTGGGGTGGCCCCAGCTTACCAGATGAGAGGGTCATCGAAGGGGGAGATGTACACCCAACCTGGGTTATTCTTTTCTAGAGCTTTGGCCAGTCTGGTGGCATCATCCAGCGTCTTCAGGGACGGAGGTGGGGCGGGGGAGAGAATGAGATGACGCGAGGAGGGGCTCTGTCTAGGTGCCAGCCCCCTGAGCCCTGCCACCTACGGATGGGGTCTGTGCTCACCTCTCCTACCACTTCAACTGTGGCTCCTTCATTCCTGAGCCGCTCGATGGTGAGGGCAGGTGTGGTGCAGGGGACCACAATAGTGGCTGGGATGCCCAGCCTCCTGGCAGCGTAGGCAGTTGCCATGCCCGCGTTGCCCGCTGTCAGGGTGGCAGTGGAGATAGTGTGTCAGGAAGGAGAGTCTGGGACCTCAGGTGGGGCTGGTCATTCCTTTCATGTCAGGCTCCGGACTCCCCTCACCTCCTGAGTGACCCCTGCCTCATTCTGGAACCCCAAATCTGCACTGATGTGAATGGAAGCATTGCTGCACAGATGAGGGCCCAGAGAGGGGACGAGCCTGGCCACAGGACACACAGCCCAGGATAGAAAGGGAAAGAAAGCTCCCTGGGCACTTACCTGAAGAACAGACAAAATGTTTGCAGCCTTGTTTTGCCCTCTGTGGAGACAAGAGGAGGGGGTCAGATCACCCCTCAAGTCCATGCCTAGGCTTGTCCCTCCCACTGGAGTGTCTTCTGTCTATGCTGTACTCACCTTCCTTAGCATCTGGAACATCCTCAGGCATATATTCCCCAAGGAGACTACACAAGGGGGCAGATGTCATGTCTGTAGAGACCCTCGTGGGTGGGCACATCTTAGCCAGAGAGAGCCCTGATATGTGTAACCTATTCTAAAAGAATTTTCTTTTAAGAATATTAAGATTCATTTTATTTGTATGTGTGTATGAGTATTGCCTGTAGAGGGCAGAATAGAACATTAAATGCCCTGCAGCTGGAGTTACAGTTGAGCCACTGACATGAATGCTCACAGCATGGGTCTTCTGAAAGAGCCTCACATATTCCTAACTTCGGAGCTATCTCTCTAGCCCAATATTTATTACTATTTTTAATTATGTGCATGTGAGTGCAGTTGCTCCTGGAAACCAGAAGAGGGCACCGTATCCCCTGGAACTGGAGTTACAGGTGGTTGCGAGCCACCAGCGGGTGCTGGGAACTGAACTCAGGTTCTCTGCAAGAGCAGTCAGTGCTTTTAAGTACTGAGCTGTCTAAACTCCAGCTCCTAAAACAATAATACTGTCAATAACAACAACAACAACAATAATAATATTACTATTGACAGGTTCT